CTACATAACAACGTGGTGGGCTGTGGATTCGGAGTGATCGACCGTTTCATAGTGGGCTAAGGTGGAGACCTCAAGCCGTTTGTGGTAGACTCCAGGATGGGCGTTCATTATGATTAACTATTTGAGGTGGTAAGCATTACCATTTGGGGACTAAAGGTGCCCCGTATTTTTAGAGGTCTCGGTTAGGGCCCGCGTCCTAAGTTATGACCCCGTACGAGGGACGATGACTAAACAAGACATCCAACGGTGAACCGGCGGATGTCTACGACGAAGGGAGAGGACTATCAACCTACTACCTGGGAGCGGGTAGTACGCTGTAGTACGGAACGAAGTGTCCCCTAACTCCGAGGCCAGGACATGGGAGACCCAGGTTGAAACCCTGGCAGAGGAACGTCGTGACGGGAGCAGATTGATAAGAACACCTCGAACGGAGTCGAGCCGGTGAGTCAGAATGGTTGTTTCCTCGTCAGCGAATGTGGTTATGTTTATAACTTTGATTATCCGACGCGACGGGGACGTCGCTTAATAAGGTCCGAAAAACTGTCGGCCAGAACACCCTTACAAGGGTATTTGGGCACATTTTTGCAACTTACAGGAAGGAAGTTTTTGGCGATATCTGAGGGCGCATTTCATTTTTGTTGATTAGAGAGTGTGTGAACGTGCACGTTGCGGACACGCGTTAGTCGGACCAAACGATTGATCAAGGAAGGCTATGAGCTGCCGGTAGAGCAAGTTGGTGCTAGGCTAGAATCTTGGATACAGTCACGGCCTCTCGCTGTCGCGCCCCCACTGCTTCAAGGGTCTGGTTAGATATCCTTCACCGGACCGAGCTCAGTGGGTTGGAGGACTCGCAGACTGTCACGCAGGGTTTTGATAGGTATAAAAATAGAGGTGTATTCATAGGCAGTCACACTTTGTCATACAGTCGAGTAGTCAGGGTTATCCCTCCTGCCAGCAGCGACACGACTTAGAGTGAGGCGTTCAAGTTTATCGCCTGCACCTGACCCCGTATAAAGGTTAGACTCAAGGTCACCGGAGTGCCTATCATCCAGGAGTCCTTCATGCTGCCTTGAGTGTAGCCTGTGTATCATAAGGAGGAAAATAGTGTACATACATCATAGAGCAATTGACATTGACAGAATGAGAAGACCAGAAACCAGACTCTGCAAGAGCATGGCCAGAGACACAAGGATGAAGAGTAGTACACAGTGTATGAAGGGAGCAGCCATCAGAGGGCTGCAGTCACTAATAAATAATAATATCGTAATACATCATAGTGATTGAAAAGAGAGAAGCTCAATCAATGATAATCAGAAGTACCCCCTCGTGGGTAAGTGCTCTTGTCTGGGACTCCATATCTGGCACCTCGGCATTGAGAACCCCTGTGGCTATAGACTCTAGAACCACATAGCTGATTTCGAGAGGCGCTGCTGGATCAATCATGCAAATATAGGCCATGCATTTTACCATCTCCTCGTTTGCGACACTCCTGAGATAAAGCTCCTCTGCAAGAGTGATGTCGCCAGAAGCACCAATCAGTATCTCAATCTGTCTGCTCCCACCAGTATAGATGTAAGAAACCTCGAGAAAACGATCTCCGTAAAGAGGCTTTCGAAAAACCTGCATAGCGAAGTCCGTCCCAACCAAATGACTGAAGCCATCTCCGAGATATGGGACCGGACCCTTCCCTTTTAGGGGACCAATAACCGTATCGGTCTTAGGGCCGTCTGACATGTAGAAATCAATCGCCCGCGAGCAGATATCGTGCGTGAAGATATGCAATCCTCCTCAGTGTTGCTCTCCGTCGTCTCCGCTCACCAGTCTCCAGTGCTCCTGCTACTGTCCACAGAATTAGTCCCTGAAAGTGTCCCAGTCGAAGTAGTCGCCAAAATCAACGTCACTCAAGCAGCAGGGCCCCTAATCGGACTCATCTATCTCAGATTTTTGTACGCATGTAGTGATCGGGACCCCGGATCTGGCTATCTCCCTCCTAATCCGATTGTCCTTCCGCCTCCTTCCCTTGCTGTGAGACTCGCTGAGGGGCTTGGGGTTACACCCATCAAAGTCGAAGAGTACACCCCCAGGTGCCGAAGGTACGAGAGGAAACTTCACATGTAGCCAATTATCCCTCCAATAGCTCTCCCTTCAAAAGATGTAATCAGCAATCCTGTCATATGTGGTGCCCTTCACTCCCTTCTCTGCCCCATGTACCGAATAGGTAATCACCAACGTATGTCTCGAAGTCGGTGACTCATTGGCCCTGATAGCTCAACCAGTCTACCCCATGTAGGGGCAGTCTCACGATGACGGGCCTGCTTGGAGAGAAAGCGCACTCTCACTAGTGTGGATGCTCCCTCCAAGACCTGGTCAGATGGTAGTCAGCAACACAATGCAGAGGCCCGTCTGAATGGTCTGACTGAACTGCAACTCGATATAGGGCCCGCCTGAATGGGGCCGGCTGAACAACAACTCAATATAACGCTCGCCTGAATGGGCCCGGCTGAACAGCAGCAATCTCAGAAGAAAGGGCCCGCCCGAAGGGGCCTGGCTGGACTGCGACAATCTCGGGAAATGGGCCCGTCTGAAGGGGCCTGGTTGAACAGCAACAATCTCAAGTAGGCCCGCCTGAAGGGCCCGACTGAACAACAAATGATCAGTAGAACATCTCAGGCACAGGGACCAGTTATATATGCTGAAAGTACTGGGGCTGGACAAAGCCAAATCAACTGTGTAAGGACTGAAATACAAATGCTCCCCGTGCGAGGGAAAGTATCACATGCATGAGGTGATGCTAATCAGCAAGGAAATAAATCAACGGGAGCGTGATGGCAAATCATCCCAGCTAGCAATCCTATGCTCGGGCGTACATGGGCTCTCACTCAAACAACAATATCCAGCCTGGGCGCACACATATCCAGCGCAAGTGCACATGGGCGCGCACTCAAATAACGATATCCAGCCTGGGCGCACATGGGCTCACACTCTAATAGCAATGCCAAGCTTGGACGCGCATGGGCGCGCACTCTAACTGCAATGCCAAGCTTGGGCGCGCACAGGCGCGCACTCTTACCCCAATGCCAAGCTTGGGCGCACATGGGCTCGTA